GTATTCTCCGCCGCGTGAAACCTGTGGGGGAAAGGGAGCAGCTGGGGATTTAGCACACAAACACTGCGGTCTGCACAAAGCCAACGCACGATCAACCCAACAACGTTGACGCGACATGTACACCTCGGCATCAGTCACAATTCCATTATTTTCTTGCGCAAGGCAGTAAATACGTTCGGAAGCCAAATGCCAATACGGATGTCTGCCAGCCGCGACGAGAGTGCTTCACGAATGAAGAGTATGTGGTAGTTTTACTGGTAGGAACCCACTGGTTCCACCAGCACACAGGGGATTATTGTGTCCGTCCGTCCGTCGTGCAGGGAGGCTGGGTGGGGAGGGAGGGGCTGGGTGGGGAGGGTTGGGAAGGGGCTGGGTTGGGAGGGGCTGCTGGGTGGGGAGGGGCTGGGTGGGGAGGGTGGGGAGGGTGGGGCTGGGTGGGGGGTGGGAGGGTGGGGCTGGGTGGGGAGGGGCTGGTCACCCCGTGGTGCCCTTATAAAACTCAACGTTTAACCTACTCACGCCGGCTTGTGCCCGCCCTCACAGTCGGGCATATTTGCGGAATACACCACGCCGCCGTTGACCCTGGCCATTGATCAAGCAACCCAACGTTCCTACCAGCTCCCTCCGCAGGAATGTGTTGCCTTTCCTCCGTTGAAGGAACCCAGGACAAAAGCGGGTTACACACACGCACCACACACGCGCACCACACACGCGAACCACACACGCGCACCACACACACGCACCACACGCACACGCACCACACACGCGCACCACACACACGCACCACACACACGCACCACACGCACACGCACCACACACACGCACCACACACGCGCACCACACACGCGAACCACACACGCGCACCACACACGCGCACCACACACACGCACCACACGCACCACACACGCGCACCACACACACGCACCACACGCACACGCACCACACACGCGCACCACACACGCGCACCACATACGCACCACACACGCTCACCACACACGCGCACCACACACGCGCACCACGCACACGCACCACACGCACACGCACCACACACACGCACCACACACACGCACCACATACGCACCACACACGCGCACCACACACGCGAACCACACACGCGCACCACACACACGCACCACACACGCGCACCACACGCGCACCACACACACGCACCACACACGCGCACCACACACGCACCACACACACGCACCACACACGCACCACACACACGCACCACACACGCACCACACACACGCACCACACACGCACCACACACGCGCACCACACACGCACCACACACGCGCACCACACACGCACCACACACACGCACCACACACGCGCACCACACACGCGCACCACACACACGCACCACACACACGCACCACACACATGCCCCACACACACGCACCATACTACCGAGATAAATGTTTGTCACACGCCAGTTACTCGAATGAAATCTCAGATGTTGAATTGAGCCAATTGGAAATTACCTCTCAATTTTAATGTTTGTTTTGTGACGTGATTTCGGACAAAGCTGAGCCCAATCAACCTGCAACACTTTTTAAACGCATTACGGTACTCGCATATTTAGTTACAATACACTCGCATAATTACATGCACATTATACAAGTCAAGATAACTGCGTAATTAAGGGTTGAAAATCTGAAATGCCCCTTAAACCGCTCCGCAAAGCTCATCGGAAAACTTATAATAAGTAGTCAGTTAAATGCGAACCAGGTCAAAATTTCGAAACGCACGATGCCCTTTGGCACGACAAATAAATGTAAAACCTAATTAGCGCCTGGCGCTAATTATTACATATTCGCTCCAATTTACAATATCCAGGCGCGGGGCGCGTGCTCCGTTTCTAAATCATACAGTCGGTAGGTATTTCCTTTGGGAGGATGGTGTGTGTGTGGGGGGCGAGAGAGAGGGGGGGGGGAGGATGGTGATAAGAGTTATACACCGTCGATTCTCAACGGGCTTCCCACGAACGAGTGTTAGTATATTGGCCAATGACTCCCGCAGAGCAAACGCAACCCTCTGCGTTGAGCATCATAACCAAAAACCTGTGCTCGCCGCCAGTGAGAGCGCCGATTCAATCATCGACATTTGATCGAGCACCGCCGTTCATCTCAACTTTGCAAATCTCTTCTTTTTTTTTGTTTGAGAAACGGCGGTGTCATAATAATGGAGAGCATCTTGATGCATTAAGCAAGACCGAGATGCATTACGCACACCCTTTTAGAATTTTTATGAACGTCGTTTTTCTTTGTGGGGATATGAGCTACCCCGGAGGCCAACATATATCATTTATGAAAAATAAGAATAGGTTTTACCCTTTCTGGAAATACAACAGGTGTTAGGATGTGCAAACATCAAATAGATAGAAATATAAGAATAATCCGTTTTGGGACCTCCTTTGCCAGTACCAAAATATGAGAATAGGTTTCCCCTGTTCTCTGGCAACAAAACAATAATCTCAACAAAACAAAACAATAAACAATAATTCTCAATAACCTGTTTCAAAGACAATGCATATATTATCAGAGCATGTTTGTTTGTTGCATGTTCAACACAAGTATGTGTGGTTAATGCAGATTTGATTCCTTACAAAAGGTTTCTATTTGGTGTTTGAACATCATAACACCAATTGTATTGCCAGAAAAGGTAAAACCTATTCTTATTTTTCATACTTTGATATTGGCAAAAAGGGTCCTATGATATATATCACGATGTACAAACTCAATTCAGCCAGTTTTCTTTCTTTACAGATGCTTTACATAAGAGTTTTTTTTGGGTTACATCGCGTAAATATAAATGTGTCGTTAAACCCGCCACCAACCGACACAGCCCATCAGTAAGGTGTGTCACGTAAAAAACACATGGCAATTCGTTTCTAGTACAGCACACCAGTGTGTTGGAGATTAAATCTGCAACATTTACAATCTGAGTACGACGTTTCGCCAGTAATTACAATTAGCATCATCAGGTGATAGACAGATTTGTGGATAAATCCTCCTGTTTCGTTCTTAAATAGAGGGATAGATGTGATGTCGTCACTTGTGAGCCTCTCACGTGAAGCGGATACTTTTATTAAATCCAGAAAATTGAAGAAACTCCGAATCAAGTGGATGAAACTGATGTCTTTGCTGGCGTTCTTCAAAAGATGCATAGATTCAAAGGTAATACCACACGCAGTTAAAGTAACTCATCACATTAAGTCACTTATGGATATTTCTCGCGAAAGCCTACGTGTTAAAGATTATTTACACCAACATTTGTTTTGATTTACTATTTTAAAACATACATGTTCCCAATTTTCCAACGTCGTTATATCTGAATATCTGCTCCTGAGGGATTACACCATTCATGTTAATTAATTTGCACGTATGCGGCAGACAGGTCAGATTGGAAATTTAGATGCACTCAAAACCCTCCCGCGAAGAACGGCCATTGCTTGAAAAGTAACCGATTATATATTTGTTTGTAAGGCAGTATTATTGAACAATATGTTGACTTTGTTTTGTTGTGCACCGCTGGCAAAGGAGCATCACCAAATGATTTGCAAACAAATATATCCATCCTGTATCCCGACCTCCCCTCTGTGAGTTATGTGCACCTTAAGACTGTTGGGAAATTTCAGAATGACGATGACTAAAATCTCTTTGCTGTACTCCAAACATTTGACTTTTTTAAATAATGGGGCTGGCGTGTCCCAAATAGTTATGCGGATGTTTGCATGCTCTGTCATCTTCAAATGGCTCCGACAATTCCCCAATGTCAACAACATTCTCAGCAGGTCACCCGTGCAATTGTCTCAGCTTCCGAAGATTGAAAGGATTTGTCTCCAGCTCCCCAGGGTTGCAAAGGCTACGGATGCCAACATCACCAACCTGCCGCCGTGTTGGTCTTATCTCAACTCATGGCCACTAGCCACAGCATTGCGATTGTGAACATGCAACCATCGCTATGGCCTTCACAGTAAACCACTGTCGTCTGTGCTTCTTTAACGGAGGAAGAGCAAAACTACAATAACTCTCTCCCCAAAGCCATCTTGGAGCTCGCAGACCTCCAACATTGGCAATGAGATCATGAAAGCACTGCTGCCATACGCAATAATATAATTAGAAGGGCAATTTAAGTCGGCAGGAGGCAGTCAGTACTAACCAGTGTTCGATTGGTCGCTGGAGACGGATGGCAGCAAATCTGGTGCCTGTACGGAGAGGAAATCGCAGGCCAATTTTACCCGGATAAACTTCCCGTTTTCCTTTAAAAAAATAACGAAGCATTTGTCTAATGAATAATTTAAATAATTTCACGAATGTTGCTATCGGGCTCACCTCGTTAAACGAACGACCCACTTGGGTCTCCCGTAAAACAGTGCAGCACTTTGTGTTGGAAAACCCATGGAAATGAATATCAGAGCTATCCGAGATCCCTTCGAGTGGACCTGTCTTCTACACAGTAAGAGGCAGCACTTCCCACCATTGGGAGTAAAAAAAACTCAACACGTCTGTCAATAACACTGTGGTCTTAAAAGGAAAAAAGAGATATAGCTGACGTTTTGGACAATGGTACTACTTCATAGCACACAGGAAATGGCCCATTTCCCAAAACGTTGCCTTTTGCATATTTTTCCTTAAGGCAATGTTCTTGACAAATATGTTGAGTGTTTTATTTTGCTTTTGCGCCACTGCCAACGCAGTATCACGAAATAATGTGTTTACTGGGATTAAAGTGTGCCGCATGACAAATCGATGTTTAATCCTTGCAGCTGAAATTTAGCCAAATTACGTGCAGAACGAAATTCAATGGATTTGTGTGTGTGTGTGTGCAGCAATGGGATACCAGGCTAGTTTAAGCACAGGTGGCTGAAACCTGGTTTTGAATCCAGTGGCACTCTGACCTCTGAGCCACTCATTCACCTCCACAATACCAAACTTTTACGAAAGCGTCATAACCCGTAAAAGTGAAAGAAAAAAAACACACGATGACAAAACTTAACAGTTGTACGAGTTTTATATAAACATATAAAATGCATTAGGTAAAACAATATCCTTACGTAGTAATTAGTAATACATTGACCTAATCTGGTTAAGTACATTTCGCTCAAAGATATACCGTATACATTTTCAAAGAGTACATTAACCCAAATAGCAGTAAAGTGAGAGCGGCACCAACGGTGTGTAGACGTTTAATACTCAAACCGCATAATTAATGTACTCCGACAACGTGTTAGCATCTTTGCAGGTAAGCAGATCGCATTCTTCCATTATAATACCATAGTATAATCCATACGAATGTTAGCTTGAGACTAGTTCCTCTCCCCCTCCCACAAGCAGTTCACCAACCCCAACTCTAGAGTGACATGGGTGTAATGTTCTGGAGAGCATACTGGGTAGAGCTGGGAGGCCAAATGTTTAGTGCAAAATGTAAAATTGTCCACGTTGGCTAACATCCGCGTGTCCTCCACGGGGATGGTGCCACATGTGCGGTGCCAGAGGGTGCGTGCGGGTGCGGGATGTAAACGTGGACCCAAGCACGCCGCGACGTGGGACTGAATTAGCAGCTTGGGCTGCGTGAGATTGTTTTCTAGCAAAAATAATTTGAGCAAAAAAAAATCTTCCCTGCCATGATGATGTAAATATAGCACGGTACGATGCTTTTTTGCAACAACAAAAAATGTTAATGATTTTTTTTATCCATCCTTTGCTTCCCCCCCCCTTTAGCGTTGATTTTTCACATTTGCATTGTTTAATTATGTGTGAAAGACAGCTTAAAACCCAGAGCGAGCCGTTGATTTCATCAATCACTGTGTGCGCACAATACGTCTCGGTGAAAGCACGCCGCGGTTTCTGACGCGACACCCAGAATGGTTGACGTGGAACAAAATCTCGTGTGCCACCCCACATGTAAGATGAAGTTTAGGGGCTGGTCATGTTCGGCGGCTGGAAGTCCATCTGATGGAAGTACTGCTCCACCTGATGAGGAATCTCTTCCATCACCTGCTCCAGAAATTTTTCCACTGGATCCTGCATCCACAGCCACAACGAGTACACGACACACAATACACAGCGATAGTGGTCAGCTGGCGCTATAACAATAACACCGATCGTATTGCTATCAATTCCTGGGAAAGCAGGGAATGAGGGTTATCACCTGATGTCATGGAAAGAGAAATATCTCACAATACCAGAGGAGGGGCGAATTGCATGTGAATGCATTGTATTGAGTGTTGTATTAAACTAAACAATTATATTTTATTTTACCAGGTTATACAGCTCTTTTTTCAGAAGCGACCTGGCCACAAATGATAGCTCAACGAAATTAATCAAGTGGAAATTTATCGCAGCCAAATACTCGAAACGCATGTTTCTAAATGTGGAGGGAAAATCGGAGGACCCGGTGAAAAATCCACACGACCACGGGGAGAATGGGCAAACTCCAAGTATACCAGCGTCAGGGTTGAGATTGAACCCACGACCTCCTGCCTACCAGGAAAGTTAACACAATTGACAAAAACTGAGACTTATAGTATCTTGGGAAGGTTACTGAAATTCCAGCACAGCTAGCTCAGAAAGAGCATGCCATGGGAAAACCAGGATGGAGATGAAAACCCTAGTGGGCACCATGATTTTTCACGCGGGGGCGTACCCTGGCAAAGTCGAGGTACGGCACGAACTGCACGATGTCACGGAAGGCGTTCTCCCCCGATGGGGCCGTCAGGATGGTGTCGTCACTGTCCAGCTCCACGAGGTCCCTGAAGTCGTTGCTGCCCACGCCCACGAGGACGATGGAGAGCGGCAGCTTTGAGGCCTGCACGATGGCCTCCCGTGTGGCCGGCATGTCCTTCACCTCGCCGTCCGTGATGATGAAGAGGATGTGATACTCCTGTGGAGGGTGGAGAAAGTAGCATGCAGGATAGCGGGCGGCGGTAGATCAATCCACTTGCTTTAGCGTTACCTCCTGGACACCTCACTCTCTAGCAGGTTTTGGAGTTTTTTTTACAAATTTGTCTGATTCACCAACTCATCGCTGCCACCGCATTGCTCAAAATTTACTATGGAAGTAGAATTGGCACTGTTGTCTTTGGCAGTCCGTGGGTAGGGAACTGACTTATCAGTGGCATAGCTATCCAGTGCAACTGCAATAGGGAGGTACAACTGCAGTGGGCTGGAGGGGCCCAGGCACGGGGCTATATAAAGAATTGGGAAATTGGACACAGAGTACCCCATGTTCATTCCTCGCACCGTAGCCCATTGCCAGCCGCACTTCGCCAGTGTCACTCACGTGAGCCATTTTACTCTGAAACTTGATTCTTTTAGCGGCGGTGGCAACGCGGTTGATGACCGGGGCAAGGTTAGCTGGCTCGGAGAGTTTCACCTTCGTCAGGCAAGACTTGTACGCTTTGATCAGCGCTTGCACACCTGCAAAGAGGACAACCGCACACGGCAAACATCACGGACAAATTATCAGGCAACGCGCCCAGCATTTTAATTTCTCACTGCGACGTTGCAGAGGAGAGGTTTGGTCTGTCAGTATGATTTCTAAAGACCCCCAGTAACAGCTTGTCAAAGACAAAGCAAAATAAAAAAAAATACGGCTACAATTACCATCAACATGGAGGTTGTGGTGATTGTGGCGTTTTAAATCACACTGCTGCCCAACTTTTGACATCTCAACGCGGAGGACAGGAGTTCGTAATACATCTTCATAAATAACTACAAATTTGGAGTGAATTCCATAGCGTATAATTGTATACCAATGAATATTTTAGACATTGTGTTATTTAGGCACTTACGTGTACTTAAGCGATGATCAAAATGACTTACCGTCGCAATTTGGGTTATTAGCGTTCAATGTTAACGGGAAATCTTGCGACACCTGCAACACAACAAAACACAGACTGATAGAAGAACCAATTGTAAGTGACAATACTCAAATAAATATGCACGGTGCATCTCTGATCGTACAATTGCATAGCATGCACTCTTCTTGCAGCATTTTGTGATGACATGGCACAAGATCTCAGTGTCTTACCTTCTCCTCGGATGGCAGCTGTGCCCCAAATCCATAAGCTGGAAACTGCTTGTCTCTGATTAGATAAAAGACAACACAGGAATTTGTACATCACACGCAGAAAGCTGTATTGTTTCCACAGTCTGCTCAGTCTCAAAATCAACATGCTATTTATATGACGACTACTTTTTTTGCATCATATCACTAAAAGTTTTGGCATATATATGTTCCTGGCAAAAACTCTCAAAAAATTAACGATGAAATGCACCGCTGGCAGATTTCCTGGGACTGTGTGCACATTTGACTGCAGGGAGAAGGAGAGAAAAAAATTGAAAATGTCGGTGGGAAAAATTTGCGCATTGCTCCGCTTGCACGCCGGAGATCTCCGTTGGCCATCTGGTGTACGCACGCGTCATAATACTGCAGGGTCCCACCCACGGCTCGGATGACCATCAGGTACTGGTTGGCGTCGTTGAACCCCGTGTGGTGCAAGGAGTCCAGTTGCGACGGTGGCTTGTTGGAGGCCGTGAAGTCGATCGCCATCTGGGAGGCGGAGCACAGAGAGGGCACGCGACCCGTGTGGGAACTGCGGTCACAACGGTGCAGCCTTGAGGTCACTGATCTGACGCTTTGTTGCTGAATCTTCATGGTTTGCGCCTCTCGCGGTTGCAGGGGTTACATGAACTCAACTACGTACAATGCATATTAATCGACAACATGTATATGCTATTTCACTAGTTATTTGACTGTTTTTAATTTATTTTAACAGGTAAGGCCAACTGAGCGATATAACTTCTTTTCAGAAGCGACCTGGCCACAAATGATAGCTCAACGAAGTGGCTTATCACGTGGAAATGTTTAGCAGCCAACTACTCTAAACGCATGTTTCAAAATGTGGAGGGAAGAACCGAAGGACCCGGAGAAAAATCCACTTGACCACGGGGAGAGAGAGAGAATACAAACTCCAAATATACAGCAGGCGTCAGGGTCGGAATCAAACCTACGACCTCCTGTATACCAGGCGAGGTAGTTAACATATCGCGACCGTGGCACCTTAAGGATTTATATGAAATTATAAATTAATGCCAATTTTCACCCTTTACGATATCTTGTTTTTGGTTTTGGGGCACTTGCCATCTCGTTAATAGAGCTACTCTGGATATGGAACTCGGGACACGAGCTGTTAGGGCACTCGTTAAGGGATGCGTCGAATAGCGAAATTACCAAGCGGCAAAAAACATTATCGCAGATGAATCAACGATGTAATGCTGATTAGTCGAGCATTAAATAACAGGACCTGTATTAGTGGCGCATTGCATGCTTGGGTTTCATAATGCGGTGTACAAGGGCCTGACTCGCGGTGTCTACCTTATACAACATTGAGAAAATTAATCACAAAAATAAATTAGAAACTCGGATAATTTATATATATTGTATATGGGATATAACGCTGAACGTAATGATGCATTGATTCATAGATTAACACCGTAATATATGTGTAAAATCGTACGTTTGAGAATTCATCATTTTCAGTTTGTATATATTGTAATGAAATCACATAACCACTGCAGCCACGAAGGTTACCTATGTTCATTAATTTTCAATGAATCTATTCTTCATTCGAATCGCAACCCCATATCATGACAAGTCGTCATTATAATGCCTTACATATATATCATTACACTGTGTATCAAATATATATTTTTGTTCCTGGGTAGTAAGTGTTATTTCCTAATTTCTTATGCCTCAAAAGTACAGAAAATGGATATTATTCCCCACAAACTTTGCTTTTGTGACCAGTACATTGATATTTTGAAATGTACCTATTTAAATGAGAAAAATGGGCGAATGTGTCTTTTCGTTCACATTAAGTAAAAAAAGACAACATCGGAATAAAAATTCACATGTATTAATACTAAAGTAATACAAAAATTACTATTGGAGATGCACAATGTGTTCTTGGGAATTAAATATTTCTAAATTCATAGCCGATTTAATTTTGGCTCTTAGTGCTTCCCCTCTCTGCGGGTCATGCCATTCCTCACGAATACAAGTTTCAACAACAACAACAATTTCAATGTATGCAGCATCTAAATTACAATAGCATGTCTAGATGCTTTACAAACAACCTGCATCAAGGTAAAAGGGAGTGGGGCTGGCTGGGGAGAGGCAACGTCAAGGAAACGTTTGGCGAGAGAGGAGAGCGAGGGAGCAAACGTCACGGCACATCTCGGCACAAAGCGACCAAAGTTAATACCTGAGTGGGCTTTGCCTGGTAGGATGGGGATGGTTTATTTGTATTTGTATGTTTTTGGGTGATTTGTTTACCTTTCTTGTACTTTTCGCTCCTATTATTTTTATTATTGTTTGTTGTTGTAACGTCTTTGCCCGTCCCTACTGGACATCTGTGAAAAAGAGCTTCATAGCTCATCAGATTCCTCCAGTATAACTACATATTCTGATTCTGAATCAGGGCTCAGCATCAACAACGGCGAGCCCCAGGGATGGCCGAGGCAGTCAGGGAAACAGCGACAATTCCCAGCGCGTCCTCAGGTTTGTGCCGGAACCCATTCAACAAATGAAGGTTCGGGACCTTAACCAACAAATTCAACAACGCACGATCCATGGTTCAACACACGTACGGGTAGGGCAGGTGCATCGTCAATACGTCTGGGAGCTTACGCTGAATTGCAGCTTGCAGCCTCCGCGGATGTAGTCCAGAAAGGTGTACTGTCTGCAAATCTGCAATCAGGAGACAAAATATGCACTTTGCCAGTCTGTTTAGTTTTCGGGGTTGTGGCGTTTCACACGGCGAGGTCTCCTGCTGCTTTCTCAGACTGCCCAACCCGGGTTTTTGCTTTGCTTTTATGTTGACAATTTTTTTTATAGTAGTTTGTGTGCAATGTTTGCATTTGTATGATTGCCATGTACAGCAGTATGAGGTGCTCCTTGATATTAAATTCCATACAAGTTCAGAGTTAGCTGCGGAGGTTCAACTTGAAAACAACTTGAAAACACAACAGAGTGGGTATTGCCGAGCGTAATTATTGAAGGGGATTCTGGATCACAGCGATGAAATATAAAAGGGGAACAAGATCAGTACAGCAACCCCGTAATATTCGTGGGGGGTTTCTCATCAGGCTTTGTGTACAGTATTCGCGACAAATTTATGGGAGTGCTATTTCAAATTGTATTTTAAATATTCGCAGCCAGAGCGAGCGACCGCCCGGCAAGAGGCCGTGAGGCGTGGGAGCGACGCGGGTCGTGGGAGCGCAACGCCGCTCTCCCTCCCGGGCCGCCTCTGTCTGCTGCACCGTTTACGTGCGAGCGCTTTCTTTTACACATTTTTGGAATTATTTACTACGGTATATGATATCAATATATTTATTTAATCATTGAAATTGCAATATTAAATGTTTTTGTTCATGAATAATAATGCTTTAATTTTATACATCATCATTCACGCTAATAGCATCCCATAACGCTGTACATTAATTATATAAGGACCAAATTCCATATACAGCCACCACCAAGCAAAGAAAACCCCTACTACCAAGCGACATCTAAAATGACTAAACAATTAAGAAATGCCACCAAAACAAAAAGCACAATCGACAAAAAGTTATCACAACAAATAAATGATTCCATTCTTAAACGAAAGTCAAATAACACAATACCACTATACAATAAATATATACATACGGTTTCTATGTTTATGTTTAAAAGTAATCTGTTTACTTCCCTTAACGCTATTTTCCCCATGAGCTTTGAGTATTAATATTCACGCCGTTCTCCAGGAATGTATCCCCTGTAAATATGAAGGGTTTACTGTATGGGGAGCGATAGAAAAACTTCATTTTCATAATGAAAAGCGACATACAACTGTGCCTTGCACGGCGTGAGTTACGCATTAGAAATATGGCCATTAACAAAAGAAATTCAACAAAAAACTGAACAGTGTGCAAGGAAGCGTGCGGAGATGCGTGTCTGGAATTAAACTAACGGAAAGAAAGAGGAACGCTGGCATTCGGGGAAAAGGAGAAATTAGATAACTGTTAAGAAAGTGGGCTTGGGTGGGGACACATCACTGGATGAGGGTAAAGGCTGGTGATGAAATAGCAGCCAAAGTACAAAACACACCCGATGTAACTACCGCCATGGAGATGTAGCGATGAGATTACTTCATGTGCAGAAGTGAGATGGGAGGGAGGGAGGGATGGCGACGATGGCGTGGGGAGACACTCATCCAGCAGTAGATAAACAATTGGTGCTGTTGCTGCTGATTCTGATCATGCATTGTATCATTAATATTTTAAGAAATGCATTATTTCTGCTGTACTTTGCGGCGACATCACATACCGTACAGAGCACGACCACAAGTTGGCCCGAGTTCTTGTAGTTCGAGTTCTTTACGTTTCCAGGCAAGACAAGATCAAACATGACCTGCACGCAGCCAGAGGTCATGTCGCGTGTTACGTTTACTCCCAGCAGTACAGGGTGAAGGTGCACAGCGTCGCCACTTTGCCTGCGCGCCACTCGACTCGTTCGTTGTGTGCGCCGTCAGTGGCACCGCTCGGCTCGGCTTCTGAAGTTTAAAAACAACCAGAGCCGTGCCGGGCTGGCTCGGCATGGCACGGCACGGCACGGCTCGGCCCAGTGTGGTTTTGAACAGGGGGAAATGAAGTATACAGGTCTTACCGTGTTGTTCAGCTTGGCTTGGTTGAGTTGCATGACGGTGACAACGCACTCCCCGATGGGATTGGATCGCCCATTCCGGTTCCAGTCGGCGCACACGACCTGCGAGCGCGAGGCAGGATGAAGTGTGGGTTACGGTCGCCTCTCTCCGTTTTTCACTGGTGGGTACAGAATTGTGAATTTGGCGAATGATAAAAAGCACGGTCGTATCCTCTTTGTAAAGCCACCTCTGGACGAGGGCCTTCCTGCACCGTGCGAGCCATCGTGGCTGCTAGGCTATACTTCGCCACACTGGACAGTGTGGGTGGGTGAAGGCAGGGAGCATAAATGTGGGAGCATATAAGTGCGGTACAATAATTCGGCACTGATCTCTCCTGACAAATATGTAGTCCCGTGGTCTTTAAGATCTATTCGAAAAGAGATGAATTGTAAAATACATTGAATGGAACAAAAAAGCACGTCAAATGTTTTGTAAAGCAAATGCAACTGGGATCCAATATTTAATTGACATGATAGGGATTCCTTCCCATCACTGTTATAAGCATGACGCTACTGTAAAAAAAATGCACAATGCTGTTAGAAACTATTCCGCCTTGTAGTACGGCACGATATTGCACTTTCACGAGTCTAAAAACAAGGCAATTTTGATTCAAGTGTATTGAGCTATTTTTCTTACTTCTTCACGGAAACCGAGTGAAAGCTTGTTGCCTTTGGAGGCAACCGAAGAGTGAACGGTTCCGTCAGCTTCAGAAATTGGCCCGAAAATTCGCATGGCCATTGAGGCACAGTTGGGCTGGAGCGATGGTGCAGTGGTTAGCGCAATGCATTTATGAACTCGGTGACTCTGAGATAAATTTGCGACCACAGCTAACAACAGCGGTGGAGCGACATCCAAACTGATCTTGCCCTACCTCCTTCACCAACCCGTACCAACCAGCAGGGCGAAATGCAGTCAAACAATCCTCATGCACGGTTGGTTACGTACGGCGTGAAAGAAGTTCAACATTCATACATTAATGTACAATATGGCGTGAGGGGGCCTATATCCAGCAGTAGATTGACAAAGCGCTGTCAGTGATTGTTATTTTTACCATTTATACGTATGCATGTTGAACGTCATTCACACCGTACGTAGGCAACTGCGCTGATCGGAGGTGCGGGGGACAACAAAATTTAACGCAAAAAGCAGTTCCAAATAAACGAGTTTTCAATCTGTATTTGGGAACACAGTGGGCGGCAGTGACACCGACGCTCCCCCACCTCAAACATTTGGCCGCAGGGGGGCACACTGAATACAAGTTGCTGTTCTGTCACCTCGATCAACAGTCTTCACCTCCTCGGCTACTTGACACAAGCCCTCAGGTCTAACACTGCCCTCTGCAATAATTATCGACCCTGCAGTGAGAGCTCTTTTTATATAAGACCGGTCATACCCAGCGATGGGGGGTGTTATAACACACGTTAAACAAGTGTTGGACAACACTTAAACATCACGGAATTGGGCTCTAGTTCTCGCCCACTATATATTTTAGGAAAGACTGCGACACCGCCCGTAACTTAATTGGCCGTAAGATCTTGCAATGAGGAGCTGAGCCTTCAGCAGGTGAATCTTAAGTTCTTTCCAGACCTCCCCACCCACTCTCCGACATTATGGGGCGACCAGGAATCATTGCCAAACACCAGAAATTTCTTGTAAACTAACGAAAGTCTGCCCACCATCCGTCCGCCAGGGAGGCGAGACGAAATGACCACATGTCTCTTTGGGCATTGCTGCAGTCAATGCGCGCTGCCCTTGGGCACCTCAGGTTGTGAACGAACGGTCCTCTTGGGCCCAAACATCGTTGCTACACGCCATTAAAAGTGGCAAATGAACAAACAAACAAGCCAAAAACGAATCGACGGTTCTTTAAACACGGGGAGTGGTGCGGAAGGAATAAGCACATTGATGCTCCCTGGCGGGTATTAATGGCAGCCAAGACCCCGCGGAGGGCAGTTCGCTTTAGAGTCATTAATTATATCCGCAAGCACATGCATCAGTCCCTGTGTAGCCGCATATATGTTATTATTCAGCCGAAAAGCTCTCCATCTCTGTGGCTGGCTTTTTTTTAATGCACTGACACGCCATTAATATCCACTCGGGGTTAAATTGTATTTCGTTACTGATAAATGCTCAAAAGAATTTCGCTCGGGTCTATAATGCAGAATTTTGATGTTATATTTTGAAAGGCACGAACTTTTTTTGTTATCAGGGCTGCCACTGGTGTTGAAAATGGCTGTTGGTGGCTTCTATTTCCCTGGTTGTGTATGCGCATGTGTGAAGCGGGCGTGCGGTGGTTATCGCACTGCGCTACGAACCCAGCTCCAACTATTTTCATTCCTGGCCATGGCTAACATCCATGGTAAATATCCGAACTGGTCCTGGCTCTCACCTGGGTCAACTCAGGCTTGTATGTATGTTGAACTTCTTTCGCGCAATACGTAGCCAACCGTGCTAATCGAAGGCGCGAATGAGCACCCGGTGCGGTGTGTAAACATCAGCACTGGGTAGACAGAGGTAGCCGGGAGTGGAGCTAACCGCACAGCTCCCTTTGATGAGCTCACTAACAGCACTTGCCACACGGTCTACTTAAAGGCTACGTGGGGGATCTGAACACGGCACACAACAATGGTATCGCAGGCACAAGTGCTCAGAACTCGTGCTCCTTTTGTCCACTTAATTGATGGAAAGCAGATACCGCCGCTGGTGCTGTAGGGGAGCGCGTGGCGGTTTAAGTTCAACATACGTACGTGTGTGTTGAACTTCTTTCGCACCGTACGTGGCCAACCGTGCTAATCGGAGGTGCAGAGGGTTATGGTGCGTGAGGGTAGGTGGCGGGAGGCGTTTGCGCTGTGCGGTGGTGGGATTTGCAAGGTCGTAACCGGGACTGCGGGAGACACGGCACCTTTATGGGCTTGGCGATGTTCCCGTCGCACAGAGACTGCAGGTTCAAGACGATGTTCTTCCATCGAGGATTGAGGGTGTTTTTGTGGACCTGAGGAATGCAACAACGTGGAACAGCAGAGTGTTAAACATTTCCCTTTGTCCACTGAACAAAAACAAACACAGATGCCCCAGTTTACTGCAATATGGATAAAAAAATATGAAAATAGGAGTGGCCTAAATCTACCTAGCTTGAAATGTAATTTCAAGAAAACAACTCATAAAGGGTTATTTAGGTGAACATTTACATGTCTTCTAATCTATATTGGAACAAAAACTATTCCTGATGCAGAAAGGAGCAGAGGAATGTATGTACTGTAACATCATGTTCATATATTAGGTATATATCATGATACTCCTCCGCACCTCCGATTAGCACGGTTGGCTTTGTACGGTGCGAATGAAGTTCAACATGCATACATAGATACGTGCTAATTCATGGATCCTTGTGCACAGCATTACATGTAACAGAAAACAAATGTGTTCTTGGGCAGCTCACGAGACGTAACAATTGTTCAGTATGAACTTTAGACAACAGTCGTCTTGGCTCCCCACTGTGAGAAACAAAGCCTTAAACCCCCGCCCCCCCCCCCCGACTTCTGAAGAAGACGCATCCATCGCGCTGGTTATTGATGAACAACAAAGCAAGGCGAGCAATGCGAGACGGTGATCCGATACAAACTTCTGGGGGCAGTGGGGGGGGGGGGCTGAGCATTTACGCGTATTAATTATTCATCCCTTGCCAAAAGGAAACACAGTGCGATTAACCCCCTCGATCACATTACCGCGGCCCAACAAAACACGCAAGGTGATGTCGGAGCAAGGCGTGAAAATAGCAAAAACGTTCAGGGAACGATGGCTCTGGTTACGCTTGGGCTGAGTGTAGCTGCTGCTCAGCCTTCGCAGTACAAGCGGCTTTAGAAGCGCCTGTGACTGATCTTGATTTGATAACGGGCACGCATTGGTGGTGGCGGAACAATGGGATTTGATCGGAGGGATGTTTTTGCATCGCAAGACTGCGAGAGACGGTGAGGGTTTGGGGAGACCTTAATCCAGCAGTGGATAGATTGTGGGTTTTCTGTTACACATTTAACGATTTTTCTATAGTTATTGAACCCAGGTATCCATTGAAAATATATCCTTCAGGGTATCATTCCCAACTTGACCATCATCTATGATATTCGTCAGGTTTATTAGAAATACATAAATAAATAAATGCTTGTCAATATCTCCTTTACCAACAATAGGGCATATGAGCAAAGTGACTTGATTCATTAATGCCGGGAAGGATGCAAGCAAGTCTCATTGGGCCGTTATCTGGTCACAAGTAAAGGTCTACCACTACCCTGCCTACGAAAATCAGCTTGCAGAGCCACACCAAGACCCGGCATTGAAAATAAATACGAAAAGGAATGGGCCTTACAAAATCCATCACGTTTAATTTCGTTTTCTTGGTTCAAACAACATTCACGGTCACCGGCAGTGACTTTATGGTTTTTGTTTAGAGCAGGGGTCCCCGACCCCCGGGCCACGGACCGGTACCGGTCTGTGGCCTGTTAGGAACCGGGCTGCACAGCAGCAGGAGGTGAGAGCGGTGAGTCCACGCGTGGCCCGCCCCATTAATTTATTATTGACCACTTCCATCCGCGCCTCTTTCCCGCACTGCGCACTTGTCTCAGTCAGTTTTGGTAAGCACACAAGCTGCTAACCCCTAGTAGCCAAAATGAGTACAAAACAAACGTCGCTCGAGAGCTTCTTTGAAAAGGGGGAAAGACCCAATGATGAACCCCTCCCCGGTCCGTGAAAAAATTGTCTTCCACAAAACCGGTCCCTGGTGCCAAAAAGGTTGGGGACCGCTGGTTTAATGGACAGCGTGTCGCCACGCGATTATAACTTCACTCAACAGCAATGAACATCACACACCCCCCCACTGCCCGTCGGTATTTGCAGAGGTGAGCGGGACGTGATTGTACTGCCCAGAATTTCACACCGAGGCGGCACAAGCCATGTTTGCACGGACATAATTTCAGCCGGGTCTATCCAGCTCGGGGTGGCCTTGAAACATATTCTCACCTGGGGACACCCACACCGACTGTTCCTCTAGCGATGGCTGTGGCTGCGAGTCAACAAATTGCTTTTTACGGTCTAACAGCGACCATGGAAAATATTTTTACGTAAAATTAAGCCCCTGCTCTTTGCCTCTTAATAATAATTATCGCCCGGCGTAAGAAGGCTAAACGAACACTCGAACTGTAAATGTTGTGGGTTTACGCTCCAACACATCGGTGTGCTGAACTAGTAACTAATTGGCATGTTTTGTTTACGTGACAAACTTTACCAATTGGCTGCATCGGGTGGTGGCGGGTTGAACGACACATTTATATTTAAGCGATCTAACCCCCCAAAAAAACTCTATCATGGATAAATTAACACTTTTGGTGGAACCATTCACTTCGCCCCACCCCCTCCTAAAAAGCGAGTTGATGAAAGGTCACGATTCAGGGTCACAATGTGGTTAAAGAACCGCTTCTTTTTGGTTTGTGGCGCTTGTGACTTGGCCTAAGCAGAATGAACCAAAACTAAAGGACATAAGGTAAGAAGGAACCTGGATTATTCGAACATCAACACAAACGCATTGCTTTTAAAAAACCTAATACACAACAGCGTTGTAGACACTCAAGAAAAATGCAACCCAAACACAAACTGCCCTATCTCGTAGGGATGCACTTATGCTGTGTGACATGCACTGAAAGAAATGCAAAGCTTCATGACTGAAAAAAAGCTCAACTTTAAAGTGACTTTCAGGGGCACAATAGTATATTCACTGTAGCTATTTATTAAACAATTCAGCAGTCGCACTGAATCAGCATCAAAAGAGTGCACTTTAATCAAGCTTCCAAACTCGTGTCGAACACCCTGGGACACACAGTCAAGGTCGCGTAGCTACAAGGTAAGACCAGCTGCTTGTCTTTTTTGCGTTTCACCTGCCTTTAATGAACACTCAAAGGTAACGGCAGCGCATTCATCGCTGCTCCCGAGCGCTCGATGAAATATATCCCAGTGGTTACCACTAACAGGGCGCGCGTGCATGCGTGGAGAGGTGGAATTCCACGCAGGCAACCCACGGAGGGCCAGCACAACGTCTTTTAGAAAGACGTGAGAAGAATAGTGCAGTGACCTTGAGGAACCCCAAATATATTATCAGGAGGCGGGGAATGGCGATAAGGTCAGCGGCGGTCCCTCGTGGCCTTGATGAGCCCACAAGAGTGAACGGCCCGGTGCATTAACGGGGTGGGAGGGGGGGTGAAAAGAGGCACTTTGTTTTTTTGTAAATAAGCTTGGCAGCGTGTACATTGGGAACGATGCGCTTGGGACGCGATCTAACATGCAGCGATGTGCTTGAGAGCAGCGCTGGTGGGGGAGGAAGGATAAATAAAAAATCAGGATTCGGGGCCACGCTGCTCAATCTTTGCCATCGATTGTCAACAGCGATGAATTCCGCGCAGTTTCACGTTGGCGAATGAAGTTTCAGTTGCCCACATCTGGACAAATCTGCTTCTTTTCGATGGGGGCAACTAAAATAAACTTTCGGATCACAGACAGGTCACATGACTACCCAAGGTAGTGTCCTGTGCTGACCAATTAATGATTGTCCATCAAACATACTCTTCAACATATTTCCTGTTTTCGCTGGCCGGACACAACTCCGTAACGTTGCTCATTGTAAATGTGTTGCCTGTGACAATCGCGAGTGATGATTGCCCGAGTGACTCTTGGCCTCGAGGTGTGTGTGCTTGTGGGGTCGGGAGGGCCGGTCCACATTAAGATAATCAACTCTTGGCCTTGCAAACCACTCACCTCTGTTCGATATACCAACTTCCACTTCCCAATGGACGTTTGCTTGTACAGCTCCAAAAAAGGGTCCGACTTTCCAAACCAGTCCTGAAAATAGCAAGGAGGTGATTCAGCAGGTACGACACAATAAATCCGAGCTGGAATGTCGCTCATATACACAGTCTGTTCTCCTATAATGCGGTAATTGCATTCCTGATGAACACTGCATTATTGAAAAATTTGCGTTATAACAAAAAAATATAATATAGGGTAAAGCACAGTCCGCGATAATGCGTGAGATGCGTATGTAGGCTGAGCAAATACCGAGGCACGTGGGTAGCATCTAGAATCATCCAGTAGCATCTCGCCGTGGATGATGCTATGCTGAGGCATGACGTAGTTCAGTTCACTCAATCGCGTCATAGCCAATTCGCATCTGCTTTACAGAAACGTGTTCCCTAATACATTCATCCCGTTATATATCCAATTCGCGTTATGACAACGACTGTACGTATAATGCAGGCATTCTATTACTTTAAGCATGCAGAGGTGTATGCTTCTTTGGAAACTTATGAGATTTTGTTCCAACTGATCCGCACGTCACAGCACACATATTACTGTGTTACTTTTTATCCAGCCCCTGCTCTCTAGAAATACTCCAACCCACCCTCGTCTGCCCTTCCAATCTGCTTTGTCTGCCTCTTCATTCTATCATTTTGACCCCGGCCAGCTTTCAATAACCAACCTCTGACAGATCAGAGAACATGCACAAGTTAGAGGCATCATATTAACTGTGAAAGAAAGGGGCCTTGGTAAGAAGACGTCACCAGAAGGAACGCCGGTATAGATTCGACGTTTTCGTGACTGCAGCGATCCATACTCTTTGGTTCTTTCGGTAAAGTCACGTAGGTATAAAATAAAATAAATTCAATCACGACGTTTCGATCGCAACACAAGCGACCGTCATCAAGTGGAACAGATACAGCAGTTCTCCTGCTGTAAAAGTATGAATGCCAGTGGTCCGGACCAAAGATGAATTTGCAGCCAAAGGAGAGAACACCCCAGCGAGCAGTCCACGGTGGAGATGAGAGTGATGGGAATCAACCTGGCGTGAATGAACTACGTGGAGTTTTGCTTCGCAGAACCGTGACAGATGGTGACGGAATGGGGAGGCCTTCATCCAGCAGTAGATGCATCACAGATGATGATGATGATGTTGAGGAATTATACCGACAAGCCAAATAACGTGATGCTACTCCGAACCCTTGGCAGACGGGATTTACCTGATGATATATCTCTGCGCATCATTTCATTTTCACGCGTGCCTTTACCTAGAAGAGATCTCAAAGATTGTGCTCCCATCTCGGTGCCTGGCACAAATTGGCACGGCGACGGAAAGTGAGCAGAGCTCAGAGAAGGAGAGTGGCGTTGGTCGCTTCGATGATGGCACGACCCTCGGGTGTAGCGACCTACCTTCTTGTCCAGAGATTTCCCCTCCAGTTGCAAGGTGATGAATTGACAGTCGGAGATTAACTGAGCCGAGAGCTGCAAACAGAGGGCAGAAGAACCCATCATTGCTCATGCTGCTGTAGCACCATAAGTTAGTGCCAGACAGACACTGTATCTTCCAAATACTGAGAAATTTAGGTGTGGGGTTTTCCTATTTACACATTTTTTACAAAACCCCATTATATCACGAACATCACATTAGTCACATTCACAGCATGTAATGTTATTTTTGAGCACTCAAAGATTCACATCGTATTGAAACACACGTCGTATGTAGTATTAAGGTGTAAAATAACTTAACACTTGAAAAATATAGTTACTTACGAACCCGGCGACCCGAGTTCGATTCCCGCTCACACTCAACATCAGTGACAATTATCTGAAACAGTTCTGGGCCATCCCTATATCGACTCAGCCTCAATGAGTATCTTGGTGTGATGTGTAAACATCGTCACTGGGGAGACAAAGGTGACCGGGTGTGGTGCTAGCCACCCACCCCCTTGTGCGCCATGTCTGCCTTCATAGGTGCTAACTTAAAATTTTGATTGAAAACTTTCGTGACTGCAGGAATTCATATTCTTTGGTTCTTTCGGTAAAGTCATGTAGATATAAAAAAAAGATAAAAATAAAGTGAATAAAAATATCACGACGTTTCGATAACAACACACAAGCATCGTCATCAGGCAAAGGAGTTAGCCTTGGTAGGATGGCTCCTTCCTTGGTAGAAGCCATCTGAGGATCCAATCAAAACCATCACCCTGCCATACACAGCAGGGGTAACCAAAAATATTTCCAAAATCATGAACAAACACAAGATCCAGGTCCGATTGAACACAGTGCATAAAATTCGTGATCTGATCCCATCTGTGAAGGACAAAACTCCTGACATGCAATATCCCTGTGTCTACAAACTAAGCTCTATCTGCGGTAGCAATTTCATTGGGGAAACTAAGCGACATGTCTCGGACTGTGTTCGCGAACATAAGGCAGATTTGAAACACGGTAGGACCAATACTTCTGCCGTGGCTGAGCATTATTTTAATGCGGCTGGCTCACACGAAATTGATTTCTCTAAGAGGATGGTATTTTGCAAGCCTATTGGCTATCAACAAAGATTCGTTCATAAAGGCATCCATATACAGGTAGTCCTCTACTTACGATGGAGATGCATTACGACGACCCCATCGTAAGTAAAAATATCGTAAGTCGAAGATGGCCTAGCCTACCCAGGAGTCTTAAAGAATGGTGATAATTTAGCAAAACAGAGCAATTTACAGTAGCGTACTGTATAAACTATATACTGTATGTATTTATTAATTACAAGACTGTATTGCACAGTAAAATGTAAAGTAAAAAAACAAGGTCAATTCTTAGCCTACCTATATGAACTGCAATTTAATAGAAAGTTTTTTCAGGAAACAATCCTATCTGCATCACACAAGGCGGGAGATGCGTACATCCCGGCAGCGTCCCAACGTGCAGCATCGTACCTCGTACACTGCTGCGTATGCCTGCCGCGCGAAATTTAAAATATTTTACAATTTTGTCGTATCGCTATCGCCCATCGTAAAATCGAAATATTGTAAGTCGGACCATCGTAACTCGGGGACTATCTGTATACAGACACAGAGACAATTTCAACCGAGAGGAAGATTATAGACTCAGCAACCATTGGAAAGATGACATCAACCACTTTGGGTCATGACTTGACTTGTGTTTTCTTGTCAATCAACCTCCACTGTCATCAGTGTGGGGTGTGGAGTGGGGTGCAGGGATTTCTTGGCGGCCCTTTGCTGCACTGGCATTGCTGCTGCATTGGCATTGTTGCTGCATTGGCATTGTTGCTGCATTGGCATTGCTGCTGCATTGGCATTGCTGCACCGCCCATGCTCCTGGTGCTGCTGATACACTTGGGCTACGTCCATCCCTAGACCTTCATAAACAATTTGCCTTTAGAAGCTAACTCATTTGCCTGATGACGGCCGCTTGTGTTGTGATCGAAACGTCGTGATATTTTTATTCACTTTATTTTCATTTTATTTTTTCTATCTACGTGACTTTACCGAAAGAACCAAAGAACAGGTGCTAACTTCACCTGCCCAAACAGTCCATTAAGGCTATACGGGGGACCTTTGTCTTTGTCTCTCACCAAAATATTACCCGTACTGTTGGGTGTGCCAATCTGCATCAGGTTCAGCGTGAGGTTTTTCTTGTGAATGATCTGTGGGATTTAAAAGAGAAGTGAGATATTAAAGAAAAAAACATAAATAGGTTATGTAATGTATAAGTCTAAAATCTTGATGAAAATATTCGTCATTTATAATAAAGTGCCCTGGAGGGGGTGCATAGCAAGCTGACACTCTATAATTAAGACCAAATATGATTATTTTATGATTGTCACATTGTAATGATGTGACTTTAGGGATTACACGAGCAGGATAATAACTACGTTTTCAAATTAAGCATGCACACACACACGTGGTGGAATAGTAGTGCAGTCAGTGGTTAACATACTACGCTATGAATTCAGCGATTTGAGTTTGACTCCCAACCCCGCATTACATCAACGGTGAGTGATAACTGAACCGGTCCAGGACACAGCTTGTTCACCAACCAGCATTGTCATGCAATGTTGAAGTCTCATCTGAAACGGTCGTGACTGACACAGAATGGTGAGGCCTTCGTCCAGTTTAACGCGCAGTAAGCTTTCACGACCAATATTATACGTTGGATCATGTAAATTTGTCGTTGAACCCGCCACCATCCAACGCAGAAAATTGTCACGGTTTGTCACGTAAACAAAAACATGCCAATTAGTTACTGGTTCAGCACACCGGTGTGTTGGAGAGTAAACCCACAACATTTACAAATCGAGTAGGACGTTAAACCCGTAATAACAACTAGCCTCATCTGGCGACATCCAGAATTGTGGAGAATCCCTCCTGTTTCGCTCTTAAATAGAGGTGGTGGTAAATGTGATGTCACTGTGAGCCAAACAGGTGCGAAGACCAGGGGAGGGTTAATGTCGTCATATAAATTACAATGGATATCTAACACATTCCTGCGGAGGGAGCTGCTAGGAACGTTGGGTTGCTAGGTCAATGGCCAGGGTCAACGGCGGCGTGGTGTACTCCGCAAATATGCCCGACTGTGAGGGCAGGCACAAGCCGGCGTGAGTAGGTTAAACGTTGAGTTTTATAAGGGCACCACGGGGTGACCAGCCCCTCCCCACCCAGCCCCACCCCTCCCACCCCCCACTCAGCCCCACCCTCCCCACCCAGCCCCTCCCCACCCTCCCCACCCAGCCCCTCCCCACCCTCCCCTCCCCACCCAGCCCCTCCCTCCCCACCCAGCCCCTCCCTGCACGACGGACACAATAATCCCCTGTGGGCTGGTGTAACCAGGAGGTTCCTACCAGTATTAGTGGTTGAATTATTCACAGTGAATTAACATACATAATGTGCACATGTATGCACATTATGTATGTACATTACGTATGTACATTACGTATGTACATTCTGCAGTTTTTTTTGGTCCTAAAAATCGAAAGACCTATTATTGGCTGCTCACAGTTAATCACCGTCGATGTATGGTGACCTGGAAAGGCACGCAGTTAGACTGCATTACTTGATAATACGCTTCCAAGCAGCACCAAGCCTGTTGCTATCAGAACGGTTGCATTTTTTTCTCTCTCAATTTCAATAGTCTTGGCCAGTCATAACTAGTAGTGACTAGTTTAAAAATAATAGCAATATCTTCCAGTCCTTGTCAATCCACTGACAAAGAACTGGAAGTTATTGCTATTATTTTTTAATTCGCACACAGTGGGTATGAATTACGTCAACTTTAATTACCAATGAATGCTTCGTCGAAGCGGATTTGCAAAATAATTAATCAACTTTGGCCTGGTATGAATGCCTTTTGATTTGGATAATTGGATTGAAGAAAAATAAGAGAATGTTAATTAAAACGCATCGTTGAGATCAGCGGCCCTGCTTGCCCACATACCTCCTTCAGGGTGGCCTTCGTCTCCCCGACAACATTTTTCTTGCCGCTAATAACCAAGAACTTTAATCTCTGCTCCTTAGAGGCATCATAATCCAAGTCCATTTTGTTGGCAAAATGTGGATTCAGGTCTTTGTTGATTGTCTCTGTTCTGAAAATCTGAGCACACACAACAGGGCAGTTTTAGGATTTAAAACGATAATCTATTTTTATTTTCACAGGTAATACCCACGGAGCTGTATAGATCTTTTTTAGAAGCGACCTGGCAAATCACAAATGTAAGCTCAACAAAGTGGCTATTATCATGTGGAAATTTATAGCAACAAATAACTCCGCATCACCTTATTTTGCCCCAAAGCTGTTCAAATTATTATAATATAGCAACATAGCGTACAATAATATACGGTGAACATGGATAGGCATAGTGGTAGTGCCTTACACCGATCATCCCCCTACTGACCCATGCTGGCCGAGCAAGTGTGACCTCGAAAGTATCGAGTGAGAAATTAAGCTCTGGCTGCAGGGCCGTCCATAGAGGGGGCGCGGGGGCCGGGGCCAACCCCACCGTGTCGTCGAAGTACAGGGCCCCCAAAAGCGCGGGGCCCGGGGCAGTCGCCCCGATTCGCCGTACTCCCTAGGGACGGCTCTGCCTGGCTGTGCTGCGTTGCCCCACCAGTAACACCGGTGTCAAGTACCTCGTTCCATCGGTCAACTTTATCATCATACTCTTGCACGATGACGTAGGAGCTGGCGTCGTTAAACCAGCTGCTCGATTTGACGAGGTCGGTGCAGCTGATGGATACCTCCAGGTGTCTGCTCTGCGGCACATCTGGAGGCAGAGCCTCAGCCATCCTCCCTGGGGATCTGCAATGGATAGAACACACAGACACAACGGTGTCCCCCCAGTAGCCTGTATCGTGATCAGTATGCCATGGTCAATACGTTGCTGGATTAAGTCACCCGACCACATCCCAAGCCGACACTACTTGTCACAATCCAGCAAAATAAATCATTTTTTGAACAAGCCTGAATCTGATGATGAGACCGAGAAGGGCGAAATCTGTCCAAATTTTGATTGCTTAAACAAATGCTGCTGGATAAAATTTGTGATTATTAGGTCGACGGCTGTTCTGGCCGGAACCACGCTGGGCCATCCTCGTCTCCCCAGTGCTCATGTTTTCCACACCGCACCAGGAACAAGGCTGAATCGACCTCGGGTATTCACAGGACAAGTACTAGTCCTGCTACCACTCTCCACTGAATTACCGGGGCCGAGAATTTGACACAGGTCACCGGGTTCACAGTGCATTACAAGGCGGTCCAATATGTCTTGTGACCCCCAATTAATCGACTCCTAACTTTTTCCTTAGAATATATATTTTTGAAACCTCACTTTAAAAAATATTAAGCTTTAGAGAATTCAATGGGGGTCACGAGGCATTTGGACCATCCTGTACAGTGATACTGTCCACCAGTGATCTTCACTCATTTTCAGACTGGGGTCACTTTCGCAGATAAAACATCATCAGTGTGTGTGAGGGGCCGCCACACATTTGAAACCATTGTTGGGTTTGACAGCAGCACGATAGGGGGTGTTGTCACGTGTTGTGTATTGTCGGATGCCGCACGTTAGAGGCCGCACAAAAGGCCACTAGGAGCCACCAGTGGCCCGCGGGCCTTGCAAAGAAGAACGCTGTTGTTGCCCTCACTACTGCGCCATCCAATCGAGAGAACACACACACTGTTCTTGATAAGCATGCAGTCAGCTAGCCTTAATTACAGACAGCAGAGTATCAAAGACAATGCCAAGACATTGCCTTACAAGGAAATGTACAGCCTCTCTCTACGGAGTAGCCTCTATTTTGACCCGCCCCTCCCGACTGGACATCTGTAAAAAAAAAGCTTCATAGCTCATCGAGTTTTTCCAGTCTAAATCAATATTCTGATTTTGAGTATGCCATATGTTTGTCCAGGGAAGTATGATGGAGTCTAAGGACTCTTTATTTCAGGAAGGCCCTACATTGTGATGTTTTTTCTTTTTCCAATTCAAATATTGAGTGTTTGGCATATGGAAGGAAATTGGTTTAATTCGAGATTTGAAGCTTTCGTGACTGCAAGGATTCATACTCTTTGGTTTTTTTTTATGTGACTTTACCGAAATTGGTTTACCCAGATAAAACCCAAGAATGCAAGAGGCTAACACCCAGCAAATTAGTTGGTTATACTGTACTGCTGAGTTGGCAGTGGTGCACAAGCACAAATAGCAAAGAACTCAACACGTGTCAATAACACTGTGGCCTTAAAGGAAATTACCTACTATAATCACCCAGAAATGTCTGTCCGTCCTGCGCGTGACGTCACTCCACATGAGGCCCACCCCCCTCATTAATATTCATGTACACGTGGAAATTTACACTAACGCACAAGGTCGCGCACTCCACATGCCGCACCCCTCCCCTCATTAATAATCATTAGCGGGTGACGTCACTCCACATGCCGCACCCCTCCACAATAACCATGAGGGGGTGACGTCACTCCACATGCCGCACCCCTCCACAATAACTATTAGCGGGTGACGTCACTCCACATGGGGCAACCCCCCCCCTCATTAATAATCATGAGCTTGAACAATTTTTCTATTGAATATTTCAGATTTACTGCAATATACACCCGTCCTTGGACGGGCCAAAAAGTTAGTATAAATATAATAGGTGAGGTTTTGGGCAATGGTCCTTCTTCATACCACAGTGGCCAGAAAGATCGAGTGGATAAGAGTTGAAGCCTGCACTTTGTACCTGATTATTACATTTTTAAAAGTTTCGTTATGAAGTTCTTAAATTTACAAATGAACAGTTACCTATTAAAATAGAATAGCTGTGCACAGGTGGATTTAAGGAACCCGTAGCTGTACCTCCATCTCCTTGTATTACCCAGGCAGCCTCCCATACACATGCTAACCCGGCTTGACGCTTAGCTTTCGAGATCCAGCAGCTTCAGAGTGAGGTGCTAGCACAGTGCACAAGGGCAGTGATGAGTTCCAAACCTGTGGTTCGCAGACCGCCGATGAGTGATCTACAAGCCCGTGGGAAGTTGTCTGCAGAATTGTTTCAGTTCCAACTTTTTTTTTTAATCACAAAACAGCAGATTTCCCACTGCCAATTGCACAACTCTTTACCGTATTAAAAGGGAAACTATACAAAAAGAAAGGTTTATGGCTTTTAAATAAAAACTTTACGGAGCTCTTAGAGTAGGTTAAATCCTGTCCTGAAAATACTATTGGTGTACGTAAGGGGCCGTCCATAAATGACGTCACGCACCTAGGGGGGGGTCAGATTTTTGTGACAATGTGTGACGAGGGGGGGGGGGTTTAGAGAAATGTGACGTCACATCAAAATGCGCAACTTTTAATGAACATAGAATTGCTATAACAACACTAATTGTTATAACAACACTCCTACAAAATCAGAGTGCAGCGCCACATTAAATACACACGACAATGACAATCGTTTAAAGCGATTTGAAGCATGTTTTATTTTCCAAATGGAAATATGGTTTTTGGGGGGGGGAGGGGGCAAAGCGTTGTGACGTCATATTTGAGGGGGGGGGTTGACTTCTTATGACGCCGTGTGACGAGAGGTGGGGGGGGTCAAAAATCGTCCAAGATCGCGCGACGTCATTTATGGACGGCCCCTAAGGTAGTTGGCGGGTCCGTGGGTCCAGAACTGTTGGGAGCCACTGGACCCGGGACTCGGGAGGTCAACTCCCTCCTTGGGGGTCGACTGGCAACACGTCAGCACTAAGCAGCATTTGTATCGCAGCGTTTAACAGGCCTAACTGCTGGTGAGACTCAGAGAGTCATAACACGTCTCGAATTTGCCTGCAGAAACAAGTACTGACTGCTATCATTTTCATTGGTTGCAAAGGCGCATTGCCTGACAGACTATGGCAATGTGATTTAAAAAATATATATTATGTTTACATGGCGAGTGGGACTTCACCGTTCACCTGACCTGCCCCTCCTGGATATCCGGAGAGACCATCACTGAGCCGTCTTCATCCCAAAGGTCCTCTAAAACAAATCTAACAATTGCCTAAAGGACCACTTAGTTCCTCTCTCTCCCGTAGCCTCAAAAGTGCCTCCTGATTCCTCCTTTAAAAAAATCCTAAAACTTTGTTTGGTAAAAGAAGTCTTGCTGCTCCACGTTTCTTAAACACTGTTGCCGCTCATCTGCAGTCTTTGTTCAATCCCCTCATCACTCCCCCTCTTTACTTCCCTCTTAGGCCAGGTGTCCCTTGCTCCCGCATGTTTGCGCTTGATTCGTTTGTTAATTGTGCAATAATCCTTAAGGGCCCTGCAATATCGATGGGTTTCCGTGTTTGTTTTTGTCGCCGCTGTGCTCACGGCACCGCGGACCTCCCGTGTAAAATCGCCAGCGAACTGGCAAAAGCGGACCCCCATCCGTGTGACACATCAAACAAACAAACTGAAACTCACCTTCTTGTTTCGGGGCACCGACGTCGCAGCTCTCTGGCGTGCGACTCTGCTGATGATGCAGGAGCGCGCGGAGGAGACGTGGGAGTCCCAGGTAAAAAGTGGCTCCTTCTCGACCTGTGTGGTCTGTCTTCTGTGACGGCGGGCGTGAGCACGAGGAAGTGGACGCACCGGTGCCTCACCCACACGCACAACTCTTGTCAGTAGTGTCAACAAGACATATTTGAAGGCGAAAAATAAAGCACCAACCTTTATGACTCATCGATGAAAAAACATTCCTTGGGTCTTTCATGTATTTCCCCGGTACGTGGTTGGGTCTGTTAGGTTTGCAGGGTGGATGCTTGACAATAGCATCATGAACAGGTATGTATAATTTCCATATCCTCATGACGACTCCCTCTAACCCTGTCCACAAAATGCAAATTCAGTGTCAGAATCTCGAGTTCTCAGCCGCTGGTGCCAATTTGACAAAGACAACATTGTTAAAGGAAAAAAAACATTAAAAAAAACAAGTGCGGTTATGTTAATATACGCAATACAAGCACCCATGTATTGACACAACACACTCGAAACACTTTACGTGCGTTGAATTTCTTTGCGCACCGTACGTAGCCAACCGTGCTAATCGGAGGTGATGGGATAAGTACAGCAAACTGAACACGAAAACAGTTCTTACATTGCGTTCACATAATACTGGTAGGAACCTCCTCGTTACACCAGCCCACAGGAGATTATTGTGTCCGTCCGTCCGTCGTGCAGGGAGGGGCTGGGTGGGGAGTGTTGTATATGTTGGGTTAAGAAAATTTGTTATGTTGTATGCGTGCGTGGGTGAAATTATTATGTTGTATATGTGGGTTATGAATATTCAGTGAAAATAATAATAATTAAATGAAATTTGGCCAAATGTGTAATTATCCGGAAATATGTTAATTTATGTAATTATGCACATTTTAATTATGCCAATTCGAGAGGTAATCGTATTAATTATGCGAGTGGGTGTAATTATGATAATGCAAGTCGTTATGATAACCAGACCCCGCCTCGGTGACGAGGGTGGGTTATCGATCGGAATAAGGCAATTAATCGTATGCGGTTATGCAGGTGTGGTGTAAGTATGCAAGATTAACTTAGATTAACTCGGCATCGTTGTCTAGGTTCGTCTCATTCTCGCTTTAACATTCCCAGAGTGGGTATTCGTGGTTATATTTAGGTCCCCGGTTCACCCCGTTATCGCTTTAACATTTACTGAGTATGTATTAGTGTGTTTATTAAGGTCACCAAGTTCAAATCTCAACGCAGAAGCAGATCTTATGCATAGATTTCAGGAAAGAATCACACAACCACTTCTGTATTGATCAATTTATTACTAATTCAACCTTAACTATGATATAGTATGCGAACTCTCAATCCCGGAACGTCAATACGGCATCAATACAGTATCATCAACGATTGTCTGATTTCACTTTGACAACGGCACATGGATCCCGCATAACGCGATGGTTGTTAGTGAGAGAGAGAGTCGTTAAAACATGCAAATACTATGCTAAGAAAACCTTAACGTTAATGAATGATTATACTCAATATTGTTCACGCAGTACCGCACTCCTTATTGATCATACGCAACCCTTATCACGTTGTTAACACCTTGGGTCACGGAACAGTTGAATATTCTGTAGAGGATGCGAGTACGTGCGGCGATTATGACTGAAAGATACTTGAAAGATTATACGGCGATAAAAAAAAAATTACAATCAAAAACAGTTATTATTCTTAAAGGCACCAATCTCAACAGATACATCGGCAGGTTATCTGACAACAGAACGGCTCGGAGTAAGGGCCTGCGACGGTGCTCCTTTTCCGAAGCTCGTTATCTTATACCAAGTTTACTAATTGGGGACCAGATCACCTGATAAGGGTCCGGTGGGCCACCACTCCCCACGTGAGCGTGGCTCGGCGGAAGGAGGTGCCAAGAATCAGTTCGTATTGATGGATCTGTTGGGAATTTATGCGATTAAGAGTACATCCCACTAAATATTAAAGATAAAAATTAAGAATACTCTTATAAACGACGGAGGGCCATCACTCGGTCTCGTTGTGATGCTTTCCAGCCACGGATGGCTTATGGGTTCGAGTGTTTTTGAGTGGTAAGAGTTGTCTTGAATAGTCAGTGTTCGGAGTCGATTCTTTAGGTCAAACAGACGCCTGGTGGTCGTGTGGTGAGGGGGCGGTGCGCGTCATACGTATCAGTCGATCCCGTGGCGAATTGGTTCGGATGGCTGTTGATACGCTGTCGCAGTTCGGAACCCGGTCGGTAGGTGGCGCCCACAACTCGCTCGTAGCGTGCAGCTCTGGGTTGTCGCCGATCCGCGATGCTCACCACTCCGGTGGCAGCAGAGACCCCCGATTCGGCAGAGGTTGACGAGCTGAAGATGAGTCGAGCCGACCCGCTGGTCGCAGCTCGCTCCTGAGTCGACCCTCCCGGTCGAGCTCGCTCCTGGGTCGACCCGCTGGTCGCCCTCGCTCCTGAGTCGACCCTCTGGTCGCACTCCTGAGTGGACCCGCTGGTCGCACTCCTGAGTGGACCCACTCTGGTCGCACTCGTTCCTGAGTCGACCCTCCCGTCGCACTGGTTTCCAATGCTCAGGATCCTTTACTTTATGCCGAAAAATCCCCCTGGATCCCGCCCACAAGGCGGGACTTCTTTCGATTTTTTTTTGTGTCAGGATCTGTCCGTAGGCAGGTGTGTCCATGTGTGTGTCCGTACGTCCGTGTGTCCTTGTGTGCATCACTGACGGTATATTCCGTTGTCACACTCCCTCCATAAAACCCACGAGCAAACAATCAGATGTTACAAATTGCCTCGAGGTCGTCTCTCTGTCTGGGCGCAACATTATCTCCTGTCTGGCCTTCCCCATGAACCCAAAACACAGACGTCACAAATGTCTCATAGGCGTCTTTGTTCGCACCACCTGGAGGGAGGGGCAACGCTCTCTCCGACCCGGCGCACAAAGAAATGGCCAAAAGTTTTAAGTTAACATTTGTCCCTTACTATTTCACAGCCATGATTCCGCATGTAACCCAAGGTCTGTCGTTTCCCATCGTGGTGCCCGACCCAAGTGGAGGCGTCTCCCCGAGCGTACACACACTCCCATCCCGCGCTGCGGGGATACAAAGACGGCCGGGATCTCCCTTTCTCTCCGACCCTGGGTTTAACATCGTTTTTTTATTATGTATTTATATTCGACCTGGTGGTGATTCATCCCGTTATCCTGGCTTTTCATAAGTTTTACTTTTGTCTTTTCATGCATATGCTTCGGGTCGAGTTGTATAGAAAGCATTAAAGTATGGAAATAACATTTCATATTGACTTAATGATGGTGATGGTTCAGTAGGCGTACTTGTGACCTGGTTTAATTGGAGTGGGTGTGAATATCAAACTTTAGCCTACCCTGTTGTTAAATTCCGACTTTAACGTTACTTTAATAGCAATACAGAATAATTGAGCTTTTTGTCTTAACTAGGCGAACGCGAACTTCTGGTGACCCCCGCAGCCGTGTTATTTAGCTGGGTCTGCCCGCCTTGAGAGATATACAACACTTTTTTTAAATCAGCTCTCCCCTGTCCCTCCAACCTTCTGCTCTGGGAATGTTATTCTTAATTTCAGGTCCAAGGCCTCTTTGGGTTTATCTTTGTTTCCTCAGCTGCAGGAGAACAAGGCGTGCTTCTACCTCCCTTTCTGTGTGCACGTGTTCTAATTAGCTCGGAATCCCTAAACACACAATCAGTGATGATTCCTGGCTTTCTGTGGTTGTGACTTAGACAAAGGCGCCTCTGCTTCCTTTCACTGCCTTTGCCTTGAAGCAAGGTTGCAAATTCTGTCATCCTAGCCCTCCTCTCGTTCATTACTTAACAACACCTGGTGTTTTGCAGTTTGGTGCGCTTTGGTGTGTTTCACTCATTAAAAAAAACAAGTAAAAAGATAATATATAAAAATCATCAAATATTATTAATCTCAATTATGGAAGAAGGGTTAGGATACAACATTCCGCCCTTTTAAAAATGACCAGTGGTCAAATGGCCACGGGTTATTTTTAAAAAAATGTATACCCTTCTTCCATCATGAACCATCGATTGTCCTCAAGTTTTGCTGCTATTCCTTACAACGCGCGCGTACGTGTCACAACTTAACAGGTTATATGTGACAAGAGAGAGGAAAAAAAAAATTCTAAAGGAAGGTAAGACGATAAGGGAGGGAAAAATTATTCTATTGACTACGTGTTATAGGAGATATCGTTAAAAAGATAGTTTCTACGGTTATTCTTGGGTGGCATCATCAGGCCTTGGCTCTATCCCTGTTCCTGGGCTCGAATGGTAGGTGGCTTGTGCCTGCGATTAGTCTTTTAAGTTCGGCATTCATTTTGGCCACACGGTATGTTAAGGTTAGAATAGCCAGGACTAGTATGATCATCCCTGTTGCCCCTGTGATTCCCATCCCCATCTGTTGATTTCGCTGATATCCAGCCACTTCGGTCGCCCAAGTAAGATCTGTTATGTTAATCTCTGATTCGCTGAGGGATAATTTCACCATATGGAATTCTTTACTGTTCAACAAGTTGGACAGAGTGCTGCTTATCTCAAACTTGTGGCCTCGGAATGTGTCTACTATTTCTACCTCCGCTTGGTGTAGGCTTTTGTCTAGGTTATATAATACCTTGTCCCCTATGCGTACGAATGTTCCTCTTGGTATCGTGACCAGTGCGACGTGGCTTGGAATCGGAACTTCCATGGTTATGGAGTGTTGATCGGTGGAAACAATTGCCGTGTCTAGAGGAGTGCTAATCAACCACTGGGCATTAGCTATCATGGCCACTGTTCCGGTTCTTTCTTTGGGTTTACTTAGCTTAAACTTGCAAGTTTCCTTGGAGCTTAGGTTTGACAGACCACACATTAGTTCTGCTGTATTGGTCAGAAATGGTTCCCCTGGGCAGAGCCAGTGAACCTCTTTCATTATTTGACACAGGTTTAGGTCAGGCACCAGGTACTTAAGGGGGCCTTCTTCCTGGTAGGCCACCACTAAGGGAGTTTCCATCTTGGAGTAAATGTCGTTATTCCATGTACCCACGTTCAATACTGTCCGCAATCGAAATACATTTCCGGGTTTGACCAGGGGTAAGTTTAGCAAAAATGCCAGCTGTCTAGTTTGGGGGTCCACATGTATGGGTGTGGCTGTACCCATGTTGAAGGCAATTTGTACTTGAGTTGGACTGATTGTTTCCGGGGATGCTGCTTGTAGCACATCTTTTATCAGTGTTGGAGTTACCAGAT